AAAAAAATATACTAAACATAACTTTGAGTCAAAGGCTCTATTTTACTTTTTAATTGCTCTGTTTCCTCTCTTAACGCATCTGTTTCTGCTGTTTTACTGCTTCTCTATATCTATTATTAGCTGCTTTAACTCGGGCTACTATTGCCTCTTTTTTCATTGAACAAGATTATTTAGAGCTAAATAACGCCTCATAATATAGTAAACATACCTTCGAAATGAAATTCAGAATCATAGCATTGAAACATCAGAGTGTACTACAATCCAATCATCATTCTTTCTGCACACTTGACAACTTTTGTTTTGAGAGTTGATACTGCTCTTTTCATGCTTAAGTTTCAAACTTGGGAGTCTCTTATGTTCAGAAAATGCAATGTAAGATGCTAAACACAAGATAGATCATGACATTCTTATCTTTGCAACCTCAAGCTGATGTACTTTTGTTATAAGATGGCAGTTGCTAATGTATTCACTTCTGATGGCCTGGAATTCAATTTGTTGGGCTTGCATTTTTCCTCGCAGTTCCTTCATCCTAAGTTCTATAGGTTCCAACTCTGTCCTAAGCTCTGCAATATCTTCATCCAACTTTGCAACCTTGGGGTTTCTTTTAGCAGTTTCACCACCTAGTCCACACTACTCATAGTACCTTTGTCTCCTCCAACGGTAAGTGAAGGCAACACCTGCTATGGATAGGAAACCAGTATTTCTAAGATCTTACGATGATGCTACCAATTTCAAGTTCTGATATATATTCGACAAAAAAAAATAAAAATGATCATGTTGACAATTTGACATACCTGAGTGATGACACACCAAATGTCTGCATCTAGGTTGCATTTCCTACACAACGAATCCTTCTTTTTGCAAACCAAGCAGAAAACTCCATCTTTCTCTCTTGCTTGGATCCACAAGTTGTAGGGGATGCTGGTGAGTGAAATGTGTAATATGATCACCATCTATACAGTTGGGGGGTTAGAACTCCTGTACATTTGATGTTGAAACAAGCATTACTTTACATTCATATCCAGGATATCGAGAGAACAAGGGTGAAAGAAGTTGTTGAAGACTTGAATTTCAACTCGATACTTAGCTAAATGGAACAATATTTTGCTTTAGTTGGAGTAGGTGAAAATCATATCAATGTAATCTAT